GTAGAATTTTATTCTATTTTATTAAATAAAGTTTCAACTATGGCATTTGCAAAACAAAAAAAAAAAAAAAAAAAAAATAATCTAATTTTATTTGCTCTTGAAAAACAAATTAAACTTTTAAATATTATTAATATTTCTAAAAAATAGCAAAAATTACTATCCCTATTTTTATAGTTGTACCAGCAACTACTTATTTTCTTATTTTAGAAGTTATCTAAAGCGGAGTCAAATCATGTGATCAACCACCAATCAAATTATAGAATTTTGATGATCGCCGGCGAAGCAAAACAAGAAATAAAAACAAAAAACCTGAAAAATACAAAAAACGGGCAGTCTAAACCTACCTCAAGTAGGTTAATCAAAAATGTCAGGAAGGCAATTTCACTTATATAACTACCTAAAGCCTAATCCTAGCCCTAATATAGGAATGACCCTAACCCTAAAGTTAATCGAGAAAATTATTAAGAAATGAGTTGACTCCCACTTTATTAGACGTCCCTTTTTTAGGAGTTTGTATTACCGCACAAATAAGTAAAGCCCTCAAGTATGTGTATTATGTCCGAAACCTGATTTTAAGCTGTATATTTATGTCGTGAATCGCGTAGTAAATTAATATGTATATATTTTACAGAAATATCAATGACCAAAAATATATATATTGTATAACGATAACGATAACGATTAAAAAAACATCAATAAAAACTAGTAATTGATCATTGATACAATTAGTAATCGATTTCTATTAATATCCATGATAATAAGCCTCTACGTCTACTAACCGTAACAGTATCCCTGATGAACAAGAACTTTCTTTGTTAAACAAAAAGTTTCTCACACTAATGTATTGTACAATTTGATCTATCGTTATTGCTATCGCTATGGCTATAAACACCTACGAATATATAAATATAGGGTGCCATCACAGATTTTTTATAAAAAAAAAAAATAACGTTAAAATTTTTTTTTTTTATAAAAATGGCATCCACTATGAGTCTTGATAATGTACCAGAACCGACACAAGCAGAATTATCTGACCTTCAACTAGCGGCGCAAAAACTTTGGGAATTAGATCGAAATAGATTAGAACCCGGTGTTGATGTAATTAGCAGATAAAGTTTGGTCATAATTAATACGTATATGCACATTAATGTTAATGCTTTCCATATATATATCGTATACGTAAATTATACGTAGTATTCTATTAATGCGTTTATTGCGCATGGAAAGGGTAAATATATATATATATCTATATATTTTTTTATCAATGCAGTTAGTTAATAACAATTTTCCAAAAAATAGAACGTTCACCAAAACCCTTATTTAACCATGTGGATAGGAAAGTTAATCAAATACCAACATATAAAGCTTTTTATGCGTTACTTGATAATTACATTCCTCAAACTGGAATCCCCGAAGTTGTTGATGATACAGAATTAAAAGAGAATACACGATTTTTAAAGGCATGTTTACAAACAGGACCATTGCTTTATGCATTTAAGGTATTAATATTTTTTTTCATGATGTTTGTATTCTGTAAATTGGATGATATGATTATTTTAATTAAAGAATTTTTTAAGTATCTCCAAGCTAAAGGAGTTGTGAAAGGAAGTATTACTGATTTTGAAGAAGAACTTAACACAATATGGTTTAACATGTATAGAAGACAAGGACATGATGCAGATTCTAGGTAATATCTAAAGATCGATCATCATACTAATCTGTATTAAAAAAATTTTTTTTAAAAAAAAAGTGCCTTTGAGCATGTTTTTTTAGGTGAAGTTAGAAATGGGTCAGCAAAGGGTACGAATATAATTCGATTTATTCGATTTATTCGATTTATTCGATTTATTCGATTTATTCGATTTATTCGATTTATTCGATTTAAATTTAAATTGATTGTACATCGATTTACAACTTTCTAATCTATTGTTTTACTTTCAGCATTTCATAACTGGATTATGCTTTACTTTTATGAAAAAGCTGGTAAAATTACTTTTGAATCTCTTATACCTTTAAAGGAAGGACATCAGAAACACATTAATGTAAGTAATCACATTGTCATGCCTTGTCATATGTGTAAATCCATTTCTAAATTTCTCATGCACCTATATTTTATAAATAGCCCAACGGAAAAGAGCATGTAATCACCTTACGGTTCTCTTATGAGGGAGCACACAAACCTTTCTCTACATCATTCATTGGTACTTCGCCCGAATTTGAGTTGGCCTTGTACACTATGCTATTCCTGCTTAAACGTCAAGACACTCATTTAACATTGGATGATGCTAATTTGAATATTAAAATTTATCCATTCGATCAAGATGGAATTAGATTTATTGGATCAGCATTTCCAATGATTCTTGATCCAACCCATTAATTTATTTATTTTATTGGTTCATTATTTTTCTTTCGAAATTTTAAGAATTTAGCCGAAATATATCTGTATTTCTTTTTTTTATCATTAAATTCATAAATTCATAACTCCAGAATTGCCAAAATGCAAACAAATAGTAAATCACGATAACTGTTGTCTTCAAAAAATTTGTATAAGAAACCACCTTTCAACTTTCATTTACTAACAAATACTATACAAACGGCTAATTTCTAACCCTAACATAAACTACAAAGAATTTTTCAATTATCACGTGAGCATGAAATTTTCTAACTCATTGTTTGACTCAAACTTTCTTGCCCCTATAAACAAAGTCGATCCGTGTTTTATATTTCGTGTTTTGTCCATAAATGTTGTATATTCACGGAATTTATAACCTTAAATCATAGAGATTATTCGGCTTGACTAGATTTTGTCGAATTATGTTGCAGATTCACAAAAAATGTGGAGAAATAATGGAAAAAATTTTTTACAGGGTGCAAAGGTAAATTACATGCGGTGCAAGAAATTTAAAAACCTCAATCTCCCTATATCTGATATAGAAATAATGCATAAACTACGTACGTACGTAGTGATATTGAAAATAAATTTCTTAAATTATCGATCTAAATAAATGGTCTAGAATTTCTTTGCATAGCCAATGAATAATAATATGTACTTGAGAGTAACTACGTATTATCTGCATATCCACTGAAATAAACCGCTATTAAGAATGCCATATTTAGATCACTTCCCCATGAGTTAATTGACCTTTATTTTACGTACGTATATAAAGTGATTATGGTTTTTAAATACTTACTATTAGACATTAGCCAAATAATTTTTTTCAATGGATTACATCAATTCAGGTCATACATTACGATAGGGACCTGTGAATTTTGTGATTTGCGATGCTTCGATGAAATATGCATTTTAAAAACTTTTATGCTGCATTTAAAGTAGCTACTTTAGATATTTAGTTATTATTTTAGATTAAATGTTACATGCACCCGAGCGGTTCAGGTACAGAAATTCATAAAGGTTTAAAAATTGATGTAACGACTCTTAATTAGAGTTTACAGGAGGCACTTAAGTACGTCATGGCAAAAAAATATCATTTCACGTGATCGAGATCGTTTCCAAACGTTTTCGTGTAACATATAATTTCCGTCGATGCGTAATCGCGACATTTTTTCGCCATGACTAACCCACTTAGGTAACAGGCAAATTTTCGACCCGTGATCCGTCAAGAAGTTGCTGACCCACACAGGTCAGACGACCCGGTTAACTTTACTATTTATATAGTAAATTGCGTAATATAGCATTTTAGTAGGTTTTTGCATATTTTGAATTCTGACCCGTTTGACCCGGGTAATAGCTTTACATACACGATTATAATTATGATTTCGATTACGACTTAGAATATAATTATCAACATAGTTATTATAATGCATACTTTATTTATATATATATAGATAAATATCAAAAATTAAATCATATACAGTATGCATTAAACTAGTAGAAACAATATACATTATATTTTTTAATTAAGATTAAACCTTCTGTATAATATCTTTTATTGTTTTTTTTTTTTATTTGATTTTTTAATGTTTTACTTTACGGCACTGTATACAATATCTCCTGGAAAGAACATTTTTGAAAGGTATTCGGTACTAATCAATTATATAGTAACAGATTAAAATGAAATTAGTTTAAAAAAATTTAAAAGTTTTTTTAGTATTAGAAATTAGGTTTAAGATTAGAATTATTAATAAAAATTATATGTAAGTTTTATAGCTTTAGACTTTAAATATAAGCAAAAGAGGTTTTCAATTTTATTTTATCTGATTTTATTTTAATCTATAATATTTACTACTTTTTATAACAATAAAGTTTATACTATAATATAATAAATAAAGAATACAGTACAACAATATATAAAGCCACTAATTAATTTAATTAAATAAGATTAGAAATAAAATTGTAAGAGAAAAGTCTCATATTGTCTGAGTATATTTTGTTATAGTGCTCAATAAAAGTTTTTTTACATCTGTAAATTTCTTAAAATCATGTGTAGTATTTTTAAACTTTCTATAAATAAAGAAGATCTTAAATTAGGGTTGTCAATTAGACTACATTGGACATATTCCAGTACTGTGCCACTGAACTACTGGACATAATAATTTAATAAGTCCAATATAGTCCAGTCCAGTAGTTTACAGCCACTGGACATAGTAAAGTGA